TTTTAGAATTTTATAATAAGATTGATGATTCTATTTAACAACAGAGCAAGAGATTGATAATAAACCATCAAGAAAGGAATTTAAAATAAAGGAATGGAGGTTTCTGAAATATCCTTAAGATGAGATGAAAACATGGGCGGATTTAGGAAATTTGGGGCCCTAGGAAGAGACAGTTTGCCTACCGACGGAACTGCTCCACTGAGGAAGCCCTCTCCTCTGCTCTCCACCTGAGCCTGGCACACCTGGAGGAGAAGAACACCCAAGTGCAGATGCTGGACTTCAGTTCAGCTTTCAACACCATAATCCCACAGCACCTGATAGGAAAGCTGGAACAGCTGGGCTTCAGTACACCCCTCTGCAATTGGCTGCTAGACTTCCTCACCAACAGACCTCAGTCAGTCCGGGTCGGACAGACCACCTCTGATGTCATCACCCTAAGCACAGACTCAGTCAGGGCTGCGTCTTGAGCCTCCTGCTGTTCACCCTGATGACACACGACTGCGTACCCAGTTTCACCACCAATCACATTGTGAAGTTTGCAGACGACACCACGGTGGTGGGCCTCATCAGAGACGACAACGACCTGGACTACAGAGAGGAGGTGGAGCAGCTGATGGACTGGTGCAGAGATCACAGCCTGATCCTGAACGTGGAGAAGACCAAGGAGATAATCTTGATTTAATATGATTAGATAATCTAGACTTAAAGGAATAGTACACCCAAAACATGATTAGCCTTCATTTTCTACTCACCCCCATGCTGAACAACACTCTGGATTACTTTTTTGATATCTCAAATGCATCTGGAGATCTGGGAGGCTTCTTGCTGTCTGCTGACATTCAAATAATGGAGGTCTATGGCACCCGAGGCAGAAAGGTCCATAAAAGTCCACAAAACACGTGTCAATATTCCACCATACTGCTCGTCCAATGTATTCCAAGTGTCCTGAGTGGGTAGCGTCCATAATTAACTCGAAACGAAGTCATTTAGAATGTTTTTAGAGCATAAACAGTAGTGTATAGGATTTCCTGAAAGCGAGTTCACGAGTCTACGGAAACCGCGGCAAACCAAACCAGATGAAAGTGCACATTCAGCGTCTGCTCTGCCGATAATGCAAGCGTAGAAGAAGAAATGTGCTGTTTACCTGTGCAAAGAAAGAAACAACGAAAGAAAAATGTCTGAGGACTTCAGTGTTGAGGAAGAGCATGAGTTCTTAGCCGAGCTGAATGCTCACTTTCATCTGGTTTGGTCTGCCGGCTTCCGTAGACTCGTGAACTCGTGAATGATTATTTTTAACAGGAAGCCAATGAAGACAAACTAAGATAGGAGATATATGATCTCTGTTTAATTTAATTCAATTTATCTTAATTGTTTCAGGTAGGGTGGGGCATAAGAAACATTATAAAGCCCCTAGCTTGTTAACTTAAAGAACACCAGATGTTGACTGAGAAAAGTTCTCCATAAAGCGAGTCAATATAAAATTATGTCTTAACTGATACATTTTCATGACGTATTTTATTAAACTGCACTGTCTCCTTTCAAAATTATAAATCAAATCAAGCATGTACATACACACATATACATATTATTGGCACTAATGGAACATGTTATAGTCATTTATAAATTAAGCTTATATTTAGGGAAGAATGCATTCTACTGTATCTATCGTCTAGCAGTTTTCCTAGGTCATCATGTCAAAGAGAGAACAGGTCAGAAAAGAAACTGCTGTCCCTAACCAGAATGGATCTAGGGATCCAATAAAACCCCCATAGAGAGCTGCCCTTATCAGTTAAACCATTTTTGGGTTTTTTCGGGGGCGTAGAGGTTCAGAAGGTCTAGTCTCTAGTCCAGGATCTTGCTCTTTTAGTGATGACCCAGAGTCCCAGGGCCATTGATAAAGGGCTTAAATGGTGCTTTAAAGGTTGAACTTCCAATTCATCTCCTTCACCATCACCAGACCTTAGCAATAATACCTGCAGACAGGTCCAAATATATTCAGTCTTCTGCTTAAAGGAATAGTTGAGAATGTCCTTTTTCTGGGTGGATCATCAAAATAAGTGGTCCTCCTAATTGTCGGTAATTCTGGTTAGATGTTTACGTATGGCTGTCCTATGTGCTCCTTATTCTTACTTACAGAGTAAGTGTATACTTACAGAGTAAGTAAGAATGTAAGAATGTGCATGCTCTTGCAAATTTTTAATAGTTCCCTCTGGAGAGCGGGTACAGGGTTGTGCATGTGCATTTTTTTAAATAAATGCACATGTATCTTTAAGATACCTGAAATCCTGTTTGGGGCACATCTGAAAGAAGCAGTCTGCCTTTATTTCCAGATGTAGACTGGGCATTATATTCTATTTAACCAAAACAGGAGATGTTGTGTTTTGCTTTTTGCATTAAATTGTTGCTTTAACCTCACTTTTTTCAAGTGAACAGGGCCGTGCAGAGACCACTAAAGGGGCAGGTGCTCAAAAAAAAAAAAAGGGCACATCTTATCGCATTTTAGGACAGAATATTAACAAAGTCACATAGCTTTCAGAGTTTAATGAACAATGATAAATTACAAAATTGTGAGACATACAATCAAAGCTAAGGGAAATCTCTACAAAGAACATAGAACTATGCATATGTAAAATATTTTATTAGTAATTTCGTTCTGCAGGTCTAGTTTGTTATAGGAAAGTATTACAATATTCAAACCTGCAATTTAGCCAAAGATGTAAATCAGAGCTGGACCACCAGACATATTTTGTCTTTACAGAATTAAACTGTTAAAAATGCATACAAGGGCACAATGCAACCTTTTAGTGTACTGTAATCTATAAAAAAGAATGTCTGCCTGGTTTGCTGTACTGACAGTGGAGATGGAGACGGTCCATTCAGAAAAGCAGAGCTGCTGCATCAAACTTTAACTAGAACTGCAGAAAAAAAAAAGAACAAAACAAACATTTTATTAATGCATGTCACCATGAGAAAAGCCTACTCTGTTTGTGTCTTAGTGTATTTTGTAAGTACCTATATACATTTTCTTCAATCTTTCCTCTTCGTTTTTTCTTGTCAGTTTCTCTTTTCTTTTTTTCCTCATTGTCTCATCTTTTCTGTTTTGAGTGAAGGTCAATGTCTTATCTATTTCAGTCTCTTGCCTTTCTTTTTCCCCCAAACTAAATCCAAGATTATGATGCAAAAACTTATTTTCCGTCATGGTGATTTAACGGTTTAAAAACAAATTTCCAACTTTTAAGCATTTTTGCTATTTGTTTTCTCTTTTGTTCACAGCAGCAGTTTTCTGTTAGCCATGTCTTTAAAAATGTTAATAACCTCACTGTGAATGATTGGCACATCCTTCTCGATTGCCAACAAAAGAAGGTCTGACAACCGATCCTCCTTGCATAAGCTGCGCAGTTTTGTTTTCACCAGCTTCATACATTATATCTATCATATATCTATCATGGTAGTTCTGGATGAGTTCTCCTTCAAGATACATTTACCTAACGCTAGAATAAATGCAATGTACATCATGCAGCAAAGGAAATTAGAAAATCAGACATTTATCCATTATGGAGATGATAGGTTTTTGACGGGCGATGTGCCCCTATTGCATAAGTAATACTGAAGAATGTCCTACTATCATTAACGACACAGGGAAGCTTTTTAGTTATCTTGCTTTGCTAGCAAAGTCATTAGCTAGCAGCTAGCTCATAGCACAAGAACAACAGCCTAATGTCTGTATGATAAAAATACTGAATCGATAGATAAGAACAGCTTTTCCTCACCTGGCTGTCTCCTCCCGCTCAGTAGATCTTCAGAGAAAGGCGCGCCGCGTCCTATACTTTCCTCCGTTTAAACCGCTACTCTTTGCTAAAGTAGAGAAATTATACAACGTTCAAAGTTTTCCGTTGTCTGACAAGTAGCAAGCCTACTCCAGTATTTTCACCAAAAATTATGTTTTTTAATGCACAAAAAAACTGTTCTGTAATCATTACAGAACAGTTTTTTGTGAATTAAAAAACATAATTTTCAATGTAAAACACTAAAAGCACAGAGTAAACAATGTTTTAGATCAAACAATACTGCATCATCCATGGGGCTCATTTGGTTTCACTTACATCTCTATTCAGGTTGACATTGGAGAGGCGGTGCAGACTGAAGAAATAGCCATCCGTCCGATCATGGTTGATCTTGCTTAGGGCCAAATGAGCAGCGGCCACAGTGTAAGGTGGAATGTTCGCTACCTTTAGCTCCGCAGTTAGCCGCCTTATCTGACTGTGCGAGAGGCAAGTGCGTCGTCACCGGCAAAAGGTCAAAGGTAACAATGTGACCTGAGGGCTTATTGTATTGTTTTTCTTGCCAAAAAAAAAAGATAATAATAATAATTTCAGTACATGTGTCAAAAAAAAAAAAAAGGGGCCAAAAGGGCACATTGGGATCATGGAGCAAAAGGGGCAGGTGCTCAAGCCCCCTTAACCCCCCCCTCTGCACGTGCCTGCCAGTGAACAATATTATTTAACACTCTTGGGTCCAAACCCAGCATGGGTGGGATGACAAAATAACCAAGGTTGTGCTTTTTTCTTTTGCCTCTTATTTTTGCCTTTAAGGGTATAAAGATTAAACGCAACACTAAAGTGGAGATATATTTTCATCATAGGCTTGTAGCTAATAAGTCCTAAATACAAGGAATAACGGGAAGAAGAGAAAGCTGCCTTTTCTTTTTCTGTGTATAGTTTTTTTTTAACTGAAGTCGGTATTTTAGTGTTTAAGCTCAGCCGATATTACAGCTGAACCCTAACCTGCCTTTTGACACTTGGTTACCCTGTAATAATCACATAATGGACAAACTTCATCCTTTTAGAACCAAAAATTGACGGTTTTTTAACGGATTTCCGGGAAAACGGCCGTCAGAGAAAACAAAAACAACCGGAAATAGTAGTAGTCGGCATTTCTACGCAACTTTAGTGGGCTGGGGTAAAAATACGCCCTTCACGCTATTCTCCAATTCCGATACGCCCAGATTTGACGTTCTCGGTGTTGTGGCAGTGAACCCTACGTCAACAGCGTTTGGGTTCCTGTTTGTGTGAGAGGACATTTAAATGGCCACAGCGTGAAACAGTGGAGCTCCGTAATAACGCATTTATTCAGGCAAACAGCGTACCGGTCTGCACGCGGGACCTTACCTCTGCGTCAAAACCGCTCGGGTTTTTCCGCAGATCTGTGAAAATGAGCGACGAAGAGGACTTTATGCAGAAAGCCCGAACCAGGTTCGATGAACTGTGCCGAGCCTTGAACATGGACGAAGAGGCGAGTACCGAAGCATGGAGGAGCTACGAGAACATCAGCAGGAACTTCACCCTGGAGGTAAGCAGCCGACACAGAGCAGGTGAGCCTTTTTGGGCCCGCCGAACACAGAGCTGCTAGGGCTGTCAGTTGGTCCGCCATGTTGTGAGTGGCAAGGTTTTTAAAGACTGATAAACTCTCCGGTTTGTGTTAAGTATTTTGGGATGTTTTATAACCCGTGGTGTATGTTCACGTCAGTACGAATCATTTTTGTACTTAGGGAGAAGCAATGTCATTACATTATGTTTAAAATGTTCCTTTCTGGCTTTTATTTATCTTAAAACTCAACTTAATAACAGTAACATAACTTCAGAATATTACTGTTGTATTATTGTTATTAATACTATTACAAATAATGATTAACAATACATTTTTACCCGTTATGATTGATTAATTACAAACATACTTAAAAACATGTCCACTGCGCGGTTTAATGAGGAGATATTCTGCTCATATATTTCTGTTTGGTCTCTAATGTGTAATTCCCGTTGAACACAATGATGACATTCTGGTTTTTATTTGTTCCTGTGTTTATTTCACATGATAGGGGCTGAGTTTTGCTCCATAGATGTTTGATTTGAAGATTTAGTTTGTTTCTGAAGGTTGTGACTCATGGTTGCTTGAGCAGAAAAGGATGTAGCAAACTGAGCGATTAAAAGCTCCTAGAAAACCCAAAGTCATCTTCTGAAATTCACTTTGGGCGGAAAATGGACCATAACATCTCTGTTTAAACCTCCAGGCTGCTATCCCATTGTAAAAACTTCAGATCAGGATTTGTGGATCTAGAAGGAAATAATTAGGGAAGAAGGCAACTTAAAAAAAAAATAATAATGATTTGCAACATCTGGACTGAAACTAAGAAGGTACAGCATGTTTTTATCTGTAGACCCTGCACAGACTAGCACAGTTTCATGTCTTTCTAACTTAAGATGACTCTTACCCACATGTCTCCGGAGCCAATAACGCTGATGATAACCAGGTGTTCTCTGGGTGCAGGGCAGCGAGCTGCATTGGCTGGCCTGTGCCCTGTACGTGGCCTGCAGGTCTTCAGTGCCGACTGTAGGGAAAGGTACCGCTGAGGGGAACTACGTCTCCCTGACCAGGATCCTGCGCTGCTCAGAAATGAGGTTTGTTTGTTTGTGAGATTTATCAAAGCTTAAACACAGCCTCTTGGATCTGATCAGAGCGATTCTCCTCCAGCCTGATGGAGTTCTTCAGCAAGCTGAAGAAGTGGCAGGACATGGCCAACCTGCCACAGGACTTCCGCCGGAGCACGGACAAGTTGGAGCGGAACTTCACAGTGTCGGCCGTCATCTTCAAGAAGTACGTCCCCATCTTCAAATCCATCTTCAAGGCCCCATCGGAGGAGCCAGCGCGGGTTCACCGCAGCCGAAAACAGAGGTGGGACCCTGTGACCTTTGACCTCTCCTCTGTTACAGTTCAATGATTTTTGTCTAGCTTTTCCCAGTCATCATGTGACTCTGAAATATTCTCTCTAAACATTCCATTTCCACATCAGTGTAGACATGTCTCCCAATGATTCAGAATGTAAATTATATTTAAATTATATATTATGAAGTGTCTTACAGTTTAATATAAAATAGAAAAAAAACTATTATTGCAATAAAAGCAAGAAAACAGAAGGCAGTATTACCTTACCTGACTAAAAGCCTGTTTAAAACAAAGGTCACCAACTGCTTTTGGGGACTATAAACAGTGAAGAGACAGAACTGCGAGAAGGAAAGGAGTCTGAGTTCAATACAATTCTGTTTATTTATATAGCGCCAATTCACAACACATGTCATGTCAAGTCAACAGTCTTAATTATTTCAAAGTTTTCTATCTGAGGAAAACCAGTTGATTGCATCGACTCATTGAATCAAAGGCAATCCCTCCCACTTAGCATGCTTGTAGCTTCAGTGGAGAAGAAAAATGCCCTTTTAACAGGAAGAAACCTCCAGCAGAACCAGAATGATGCGCACCCTAATAAACCCTGATGTGTTTTAACTCTCGACCAAACTGTGTTTTTCCTTCACTTTTCCCTTGATATGTATATCGGTCTGGTTTCAGGTTTACATTTAATCCTCTCCTATTTCTGTTTACAAGGCGCCATCCCTGCACTGTGACCGAAGTCTTCAACTTCTGCTGGGTGCTGTTCGTTCACGCTAAAGGTAAAGAAACTCCCCCACACTTCTCCTGCTCCTCTCCAGAGACGAGTCTGAGCACATCCCTTGAGGCTTGGCAGTGTTTCTGTGATGGTCAGCAGTGCCAACTTAGCCTGCAGACAGCATTTTTACCTCATGTTATTTCATGTTGCTTGTTTCCTATTCAGGGAACTTCCCCATGATCAGCGACGACCTGGTGAACTCGTACCACCTGCTGCTGTGTGCCTTCGACCTCGTCCTCACCAACGCACTGCTGTGCAACGCCAGGAAAGAACTGCTCAACCCTGAGTTTAAAGGTAAAGCATGGAAATTCTTTGAAGCATGAGGTTTGGAGCTGACATCTACAACAACTTGCACTCAGGGGGTTTTCTAACCAGGGCAGATATAAAGTGAGCCTTTAGAATAAAACATAAAGAGGGAGAAAATTTGGCTAAAAGTTCAGTGAAATTGGAAGCTGTGTCCAAATTTAGATGTAGTCTGCATAGAACGAGTCCTTCGAAGGATGCAGCCCCCGAATTTGGTCCCAATCAGAGTCTACTTATAGGAGGTGATCGACATTCCAGGAAGCTAACATTTACTAAAATTTTTAGATACATCTCCAATAAGAAAAGCAAACTGACAATTAGACAAAGCATTAACATTTAAAACTAACATTAACCTGCCTTTGCTATCACCATTGTCACTACCCGATCTGTACCGGCGGCACGATCCATACCATCAGCTCATTTCTGCATACCATTCTGCACGTGCAGCCAGATATACATTTGGGTCACCCTTTTTTAATTTGTAAAAAAGACCTAAATTACACTTTTCCCTCCATAAAAATAGTAAATGCACTAAACTATAACGTGTTAAAGGTTAATCATGTATTTCCTGTTTTTATCATTCTTCTGTGCCCGATCTGCACCGGAAATGGGATCCTACGCTACTTCTGGGAGCTAACTTTTTCGGCTTTGGATTCAAACATAAATCTAGTCTTGTTGAGTTATATATATTTTTTTCTTTTGTGTTAACCTCATGGTATATAGTTCGTAATCTAAAGAAAGAAATAACTTTAAGAAAAAGATAAATATGGCTTAATGATATTTTGCCGGACTACTCTGACCATGTCTAATGATGACGTCAGGCAAGCTGTTTAACAGAGAACATTTTTTAAAGATTTGTACGCTTAAGTCATTTATTAGTAATTTAGTGATAAAAATAAGTACTTTTAGTACCATGATTACACTATTTATGGCGACTGGGATAAAAATCTGCTTGCACATGTGCAAATGGTACAGATAATGATTCCGGTATGGATCGGTCAGTGACACCCATTCTTACGTTAGCCCTTCTTGCTATCATCATTCTAACATTAGCTTGCCTTGCTATCACCATACTGATATTAGACTGCGTTGTCACTACCTGATCCGTCCTGGAGATCTGTCCTACGCATGTGCAAATAGATCTACATCCGGGTGTCCATAAATAATGTAATTATGGCACTAAAATTACTTATTTCTATCCTAAATTCACTAAATAATGCTAAAACACATCTTTAAAAAAAAGTTGTATAACTTTTTTGAGACAAAGATCCTTTTTACACTTTCTTTTTTTTTAAACTGCTTCTCTGACGTCATCATCAGACATGCTCAGAGCAGTCCGACAAACCATGATTCATCATGTTTATCTGCATGTTTATATTCAGGCATTTATGCATGTTTATATTTATCTGCATGTTTATCTGCATTATTATATTTACCATGTTTATCTGCATTTTAGTTGTTTCTTTCGTTATATTACGCAATATATAGCATAAGGTTAAAAAAGAAACGAAAACATAAAACTCAACAAGGCTAGATTTATGTTTAAATCCGAAGCCAAAAAAGTTAGCGACCTGAAGTAGCGTAGGATCCCCTTTCCAGTGCAGATCGGCCAGAGACGAGTGATAAAACAGAATTTTAAGTAATCTTTTTTTGTCAGGAAATACATTATTGATTGTTAACACATTATATTTTAGTATGTGTACTATTTTTGTGGAGGGAAAATGTCATTTGAGTATTTTTTTACAAAATAAAATTGAGGGCGACCCGGATATAGATCTGGATGCGCAAATGAGCTGATGGCACATGCGCAGACGGATCATGCTTCCGAGATGGATTGGGTAGTGACTACGGCGCTTACATTAGCCCACCTTGCTATTACCATACTAACATTAGTGTTGCTGATTGTTAAGTTTTTTAACTTTTTTTCTATCAGAGACCAGGAAACAATGGTAAACCAACCATGGCTAACTGCTAATGTTGCTAACACCATACAATTAAAGCACAGCCACACAAGTCAAGTTTCCTTTGTTCCCTTGTGAATAAAAAAGGGAGAATGAAATGGGGTCTGAATGGGATTGATTCGATTTTCTTTTCCTGAAATTAGTTCAAAAATGATTTTTTTTTTAAAATTAACGTAATACCAGGTTATGGCTCCTTTGAAAAAAGATGTGAGCTAATACCTGATCCTACAGTTAATAATTGTTAATAAAAATAATGAAGACGGTGATGTTTTATGGTTGTTTGGAAATCATAAGAAACCACAATAAACTTATCCTTGGAAAAAGGAAAATTTGTTTCATTTACATCAAAGCTTCTTATAAAATCATAGCTTTAAAAAAAAATTTTATAAAATGAAAGTCAGTTGATTTACAGCAAAACTGTATTACAGTATATTCTGTTTGTTAACTGAAGAATGAAAGATTTCTTTAAGCTGCAGACGTTGGCAGTTTAAGGATGATTTTTGACTGAATATCTGATCATTTCAACCTAAAACCACTACTGGGCTCAGAGTTCAGATGGGTTTGCTCCCTATGATGTGAAATATGACTTTGAAAGCTCATAAACCAAAATCTGCGCTTCAGTTCAGGAAGTCTGCTTATCGTTCTGTGTTTAATTTAACACATAAATAAAGCAAAAGCGAGCGGATTCCAGCCGACTGATTCATTGAAAGCCTGCAGCATAGTCTATCAGCTTCGCCCTCACTTCCTGTTGCTCCTTGGTTTCCTGTAGTCTGCAGACCTGCCTCCGTATCTGGACCCTCAGTTTGCTGTATCTGAACCTTCAGCCTGGAAACTGCTGCACCCTTCATGGCTTAATGGTTTCACCTTAAATTATATAAGTCTTCAGTCTGTGTTGAAGATTTTAGCTTGTTCCTTCAGGAAAATGATCCCAACCACTTATCCTAATATGATTTGAAATGCTCATTGAGCCCAGTTTGCCCTGTCTGGTTCTGGTTTCAGTCTCCTCTAAACTCCCTCTGCTTCCTGCATCCTCAGGTCTCCCAGAGGACTTCAGAAACAAGGATTTCAGGCCATCTGGAGGTCCTTTCTGTTTTGTCCAGCAGCTCTGTGAGCTGCATGATGGCCTAGTGTTAGAGGCTAAAGGAGTCAAAGAGCATTTTTGGAAGCCTTTCATCAGGAAGCTCTTCCATAAGCGGGTAGGTCCTATCACCTCTCAGCCCTCGCTCACACTTCAATCTGATCAGGCTTTCTTCTGCTTTACATTGATGAAAGTTCATGAAGACCTTGTGCAACAATGATCTCTGTGCCTGTTGTTTGATCCATGAAAATAAACTGTGTTTAATTGATGATGCTCCATCAGACACACAGAACCTGATGTTAAAAATGAGGGTGAGTTGTGTGCAGGTGGCGCAGCAGTTAGCGCGCATGACCCATGTATGGAGGGAGGCCTAAAGGGCAGATTATACTTCTGCAACTGCACACATCAAATGTCACTTGGGTCTGGTTGCAAACCAGTTCTGCTGGTATGCTTCTGCAATGTTGGTCTGGAATTTTTAGGGACGCACTGCAGTTTCCCACCAAAGCGCAAGGGGGAGCCTATTCGAGAACTCGCAAGAACTTCGGCGGATGGTCACGAGAACTTCGGCGGCGACGGCGGGAGTGTTTATCTTCCAAAACAACAATGGCGCGTCTGCAAGATATCACGGTCAAGGAGATGGATCTAGAGTTGCTAGACATCGAAGAGGAACAGGTTCTGTTAATTGAGTTGGCAAAAAGACAGAGTAACCTTTCGTCGTCGTTGTCCATTGTAGTTGTTCCTAGGTTTTTAAAAATGGCACGCCCTGGCAACGAATCGAGAAGGACAGCCAGAAAGGCATACCAAGGACCAATCACAGCTGCTTTTTGTCTGAGCACTTCCGCTTGAGGTCTGTGTGGGTTTGTGACTGTCCGACGCATAGCCAGGATGTTTTTTTAAGGTGACAGATTTGAGGGATGCAGAGGCTATGCGGCAGAAGCATAAATTGGCCTTTAGTCCTCGACACGGCCGACCCGGGTTCGAAATCCAACCTGTGGTCCTTTGCCGCATGCCTCTCCCCCTCTCTCATACCATTTCCTGTCAGCCTAGTGTCGAAAAAAAGAGCCACTACAGTAGTGCCGTTAAAAGGTCAAAAAAAGAATGAGGCCGAGAACTGAAATCCCAGGAGGAACCACCAAGTGATTCAGCCTGCTGATAACTTTCAATGACGCCCTGAAAGAGTTGCGACAAAAACACCTTAAAGCAACGCCACGTAACCTTTGATCCAATTTTGACCTTAATCTGAGAAATGTTAAACTGGTACCAGGCGAATATTCAGCTCCTGCTGCGCATTGATTCTCCCTCTGTGGTGCTAATTTCTCCTCTGAAACTGCATTTAATTTTAAATTAAATTAAATTCAACTATATGAATCTTGAAGGGAATGTTTTCCGTTTTTTTTTCCAGCCAGTTGTTCCAGATATTGTTTGTCCTGTACAGCATTTTGGTGCAGTTTTATACCTGTTTTTAAAGTGCTATATAAATAAATTTGACATTGACATTGACATTAATATCTGTAGGCAGGAAGGAAGAAGAATAGAAGCCTCTCACTATTCACTAAAGATTGTTGGGGCTAAACAGTCTGATGAAGCAAATGCTCTGTTTGGTCAAAAATATCCTTCATGTTGAGGAATTCTTCATAAAATTGTCTCCAGATGATTCCTTGGTACCGACCATCACTCCCAAAGGTACCAACAACCCGTTTCTGTGACCAAAGTGGTTCTGTTTTGAACTGAACCTCATAAAGAATCTCTGGATTCAAGAGGAAGATGAAAGGCACCAAAACCATCAATGCAGATGAGCTAAATGCCGCTACCAAAGCAAGCTGGGCTGCCAGAACTCTGCGGTAGAACCGCAGGCTGATCGCATCCATGCAAACAAGTATTAATGCAAACACTGCTGTACGAATGTAGCTTATTCATTATTTACTGGTTTTATGTCATTTTCTAATTTCCTGACTCACTAACTTTGTATTTTGGTCATGATTTAGCCAGAATCTACAGAATTAAACGAATGAAAGTGTTTAATTTAACCCAGGGTTCCCGCGAGTCCTTAAAAAGTCTTAAAAGGCATTGAATTCTTCAAAATAAAACTAAGGCCTTAATTGGTATTAAAATGTCTTAAATCAGTCTTTCGTGATGCTATGATGATAAAACATCATAAATAGGATTATTTTTAATACGATTTATTTTTGTAATCTAAATAAAACGTTACATTTGACAAATTTTTTTTATTATTTAAAAAATATAATGGCTCTCCGTCCCGATAGCGGAACCAATAAAAGCGTTGTTGCGGCCGGGACATTTGGGAGATGCGCCATTTACTTTTTGTCTGGAAAATATGAGCAAGTGTAAATGTAACCAAAATTGTCTCCAGCCAAGAGTTTTCTCCATGGCTAAAACCAGGGAACATACATGAGGCTCAGTGGATTTTCTGCAAGAAGCGATTCAAGCTCGGAACGATGGGAATGAAGGCAGTGGAGTCGCACATGCGAAGAGAGAAACACAAAGCGTCAAAATGGAGTTACTGAGAAACAGCCGGTATTTCTCAGTTTTGTTCCACCCTTGTCTCTGCAACGCCTCCACTTATCACCAAATCAAACATACTAAGAAGACGATACAAAGAAAAATAGCTGAAAAAAAGACTTAGCACTGGTTATGTTGTGGCTTTAAAACTGATTTGTTTTTTCTTCCCTGCTAAAACAAAGTTTGTGAATTCAGTTAAATAATTGTTAAAAAATATCTGTCATTTGTGTGGTTTTTAGCTTTCTTCCTGTATGGGAAGCTTTTTAAAATTTGAAACATTAGTGCAGTGGTTTATGTTAAAATAAACCTTTGGGTTAAGTTGTTGCAAGCAGGTTTTTATTGTGTTTCTTGTGAATTTGGTCTTAAATTTGTATTTCAAGTGGCATTAAAAAGTCTTAAAAATCTTGAATTTAACTTGCCTTATGCTGTAGGATCCCTGTAACCTTTTGATTTCTAACTGAATATTTTGGGGAGTTTTATGATTTTAGAAAGACGACCCGGACGCCGTAGGTTTCCCACTCCTGCCTTAGCAGAAAAACAGGAGATCCTTCATCGAATTTCAGTTTTCTTCTTTTCTCCACAGATTCTCAGAGGAAAGGAAGACAGTCTGACTGGTTTTCTGGATCCTATGAACTTTGGAGACAGTTTGTGAGTGTCTCTATGCAGAAGGCAGAACCAAACGTAGATCAGACGTTTGCCCTGAATAACGTGTTCCCTCTGATCCCTTCCTCAGCCTGTCGCTCAGTCGCCTCTATGAGGAACATGTTCTGGCTACGGGGAGCCTGGATGAGAGAATCTTCACTGGAGAGGGGGCAAATGACAACATCGGGACCCCTGGGCCGTGCCTGTGTGAAGGGATGGAGAACCAGGACAGTAACGCCTACAGACTGAGCACAAACCTCACCGTAAGGCTCGCCTCCTGCTCATCCCCTGCCCTCCTTTCTTCTCTTGTAAACGGAACAAAGACGCCCTCTCTGCTCCCTCCAGGCCTCGGTTCTGAAGGTATCCACTCCTCTGACGGGGAGGAAGTACATCCCGGAGGTCCGACTGTCTTCCCCGCTGTCATGGGCCATGAAGAGCGTGGGCCGTCTGCACACTCTGCTGTCAGGCACCAAACACGGGCCGAGCGCCAAGCTGGCTGAGATTCTGAGGTGTGTGGAAGGAGACCAGAGGTCCACAGCGTCAGCTTTACTAGCATGTATTACAGTTCTGCTTCTAAACCTTCACAGCTGTGATGATTGAGTGAAACTACTTTAGTAGCAGCAGCAGCTCTCAGTAAAGGCTGTTTGTTCGATCAGACTCACCTGGCTGGGAAGGAAATCATTTTGCTTCATTTTGCTGATGGTCACTCCTACACAGCCTCTCTGAGGGTCCCAGCACCACATTTCAACTAGACTGACCTAAGAACTTTGACTAGGCCACTGAAAGTCCAGACCAGCCATCTGCAATGATTTTTATATTTATACCCCTGCTGCCCAGAAATATTACCACATCCTGATGCTGCTTTTTATTTGTGTGTTTCATGCTGTGTTTCTGCTCAGTTTGTTAGTAAATAAAACACTTTTGCATATATTTACAATAACAACGGTGCTCAACTGGAGATATAACACTGGCCATGTGTGCAAGGAGGAAATAAGGAAGTAAAGGCTGGGGCTCTGTCTGAAAACCCCAAATCTGTAAGGAACAGGAGCTAATAGGTTTACTAAGAGGGAAAATAATGAAAAAGTCATTTTTGTTAATTAATCTTCTGAAATGAACTTTTTTTATCTGAAAAATGGTTGCTTTTATTTTGACACATTGTTTTTTTATGAAGCCTTAAAGGAATAGTACACCCAAAACATGATTAGCCTTCATTTTCTACTCACCCCCATGCTGAACAACACTCTGGAGTACTTTTTTGATATCTCAAATGCATCTGGAGATCTGGGAGGCTTCTTGCTGTCTGCTGACATTCAAATAATGGAGGTCTATGGCGCCCGAGGCAGAAAGGTCCATAAAAGTCCACAAAAAACGTGTCAATATTCCTCCATACTGCTCGTCCAATGTATTCCAAGTGTCCTGAGTGGGTAGCATCCGGAATTTACTCGAAACAAAGTAATTTAGAATGTTTTTAGAGCATAAACAGTAGTGTATAGGATTTCCTGAAAGCGCGTACACGAGTCTACGGAAACCGCGGCAGACCAAACCAGATGAAAGTGCGCATTCAGCTCGGCAAAGAACTCATGCTCTTCCTCAACACTGAAGTCCTCAGACATTTTTCTTTCGATGTTGATTTCTTTGCACAGGTAAACAGCACATTTCTTCTTCTACGCTTGCATTATCGGCAGAGCAGACGCTGAATGCGCACTTTCATCTGGTTTGGTCTGCCGCGGTTTCCGTAGACTCGTGAACGCGCTTTTAGGAAATCCTATACACTACTGTTTATGCTCTAAAAACATTCTAAATGACTTTGTTTCGAGTAAATTATGGATGCTACCCACTCAGGACACTTGGAATACATTGGACGAGCAGTATGGAGGAATATTGACACGTTTTTTGTGGACTTTTATGGACCTTTCTGCCTCGGGCGCCATAGACCTCCATTATTTGAATGTCAGCAGACAGCAAGAAGCCTCCCAGATCTCCAGATGCATTTGAGATATCAAAAAAGTACTCCAGAGTGTTGTTCAGCATGGGGGTGAGTAGAAAATGAAGGCTAATCATGTTTTAGGTGTACTATTCCTTTAACATGTAGAGGCTACGTTCTGTTTTTAACTGAACCCCAGTAATTAAAATTGTACATTTTCACCACAGAGGCTGCGCAAGAGACCCCAGTGATGTCATCAGGAAACGCCTGAAGGAAATGTTTGACATCTACTCTCAGCATTACGAAGACAGTGGAGCTGATGGCAAAGTTATGGAAAAAGGTGGAGTCCTCCTCAGCCAGTAACCAACCTGCTGCCTACATCTACCTCTTTATATTGATGATGTTTGTCCTGACAGAGATGGCAGTGAAGTATTTCCACCTGGCGGAGGCGCTCTACTATAGGATCTTGGAGTCCATCATAGAGAGAGAGAAGATGATCCTGGGAGATGCTGATCTGTCGGTGAGAACGGAGCCAAGCACACTGCTCCAAATGAAACCTTAAAGAACCTGTTTTGTCCAAACTTTATAATTCATGCCTCTTTGGTTGTGTTTAACTCTTCTTATGTTTAAAGTTGTATAAAAACTTCCACAGACCACTGGTTGAAAGCCTGATGTAAAGAAATGAGGAATATTCCTCTGTTTCTTTGACTGGACAGATAATCAATCTGAGCGTTTCTCTGTTTACTGCAGTGTATTCTGGAGCAGGACATCTTTCACCGCTCTCTGCTGGCCTGCTGCCTGGAGATCGTCACCTTCTCCTACAGGCCTCCTGGAGACTTCCCCAACGTGATCCACGTCTTCCGCCTACAGGCTTATCATTTCTACAAGGTGCCAACGTGTCGAACAATGAACAAGTTACTTTAAGGGTGGCAGTTGGGGTTTTTATTGATTTAAAAAAGGCTTTTGATACCATTGACCACAACATATTGCTGACCAAACTAGAAAGGTATGGGATAAGGGGAGTTGGGTTGGATTGGATAAGAAGCTACTTAGGAAATAGACAGCAATTTGTTCAAATACGGGAACATAAATCAGAGCTCTTGGAAATTACATGTGGAGTACCACAGGGTTCAGTGCTGGGCCCCAAATTATTTATCATTTATATAAATGACATCTGTAAAGTTTCAAGGGCACTGTCATTGATATTATTTGCAGATGACACAAATGTATTTTGTTCGGGCGAAAGTTTACCGCAGATCTTGGAGCTAATTACAACAGAAATGAATAAATTAAAAATTTGGTTTGACAAAAATAAATTATCTCTTAATTTGGACAAAACAAAGTTAATCATATTTGGAAGAAAGAATTCTGAGATTAATGGAAACATTTCAATTGATAATAAAGAAATAAAAAAAGTGAATGAAATAAAGTTTCTTGGTGTGATTTTAGACCACAAGATCTGCTGGAAACCACATGTAAGCTATGTGAAAAATAAGCTTGCCAAATGCTGTGCTATTCTTAGCAGGGCGAGTCATATATTGAACCCAAAATCACTAAAAATGCTTTATTTTTCATTGTTTTTGCCATATTTGATTTACTGTGTTGAAGTTTGGGGCAACATCTATAAGAGCACATTACAATCCATATGCACACTACAAAAAAGAGCAATAAGAATAATATGCAAAGTAGGATTTAGAGAGCACACCAATCGATTATTTATACAGCTATATGCATTAAAATTCACAGACCTGGTAAAATTCAAGACAGCGCAAGTAATGTATAAAGTAAAAAACAAACTAGTGGCTAAAAATATAAATGAATTGTTTCAAGAACGAGATGAAAAATATAATTTTAGAGGAAATGCAGTATTCAGAACGAAGACGGTACGAACAGCGATGAAAAGAATGACTATATCAAGTAGTGGAGTGAAGTTATGGAATAGTCTACAGCCGTGTTTAAAGCAGAGTGTGAACATAAATTTGTTTAAGAGAAGGTACAAAAAATTACTTTTGGATAAATATGTAGAAGAGGAAAGATAAAAAATAGGTAGATTAATATGGAAGAGTGAATGTAACTAGTTAAATGAGCAACTTAGGTCTCTTGAATCATTAGGGATGGGAAACTTAAAAGTTTATACTTCGTCCCATTCCTTTTCGAACAATTTATTATGGTTTATATATTGATTGTGCTGTGTTGTATTTACACATCTTATATTGTTTTGTTGTTCGAATAAACTGAACTGAACTGAACTGAACTGAACTGAACTAGTTTGAGGATTTAAAGGAGACTTATTTTATTTTATTGCAGAAATAAATGTAATTCCAGTTGAGTTTCTTTATTCAACTGTTCAAAAATATTTTGGATGCGTGAAAACAAAAGGATGTCTGAGCTAGAAATCACTGAAATAGCTTTAATTAGCAATTATTACAATTATTACATTGGCTTTAGGTTAAAATAAATATATTTTATTTATTAAATTATGAGATCTTACCTTGATCATTATATTACCAATTTAAAATGAGCTTTGCTTTGCAGCTTTTGAGCTGCAGCAATGCTGAAAGAATGCTAAAATCAATCAAATAAAGACAGTCTGTTTTTAACTGTCTTTTTGTGCACATGTGCAGGTGATCGAGGTGTTGGTGCGCTCAGAGCAGGGTCTATCCCGTGAGGTGGTGAAGCACCTGAACCAGGTGGAAGAGCAGGTTCTGGAGAGCCTGGCCTGGACCAGCGGCTCCCCGCTGTGGCAGAGCCTCCGTACGGCCAAAGTGCCTTCATGTCAGGAGGTTAGAAAACGCCACGAGACGTCGGCTCTGCAGGCCTATTTTTTACACACAGATGATTTAAAATGATCCCCCCCATGTATGATGCAGGTGATGCCTCCTCAGTATCTGGAGCAGAATGAGGAAACGAGCACAGGAAGCGTTTCCCACACCCCCATCAAGGCTGGATCTGATCTAAGAGCCAGCAGCATCATCAAAGGTCACAGTTTCTGTTGTTTTCAGCTCCCAGTTATGTTCTTACTATCTCAGTCATCACTAGGGGTGGGTATTGGCAAAGAAGTCACGATTCGATTCCAATCACGATTCACATGCCACGACGCGATTCTATCACGATGCATCACGATACTTGAAATATTGCGATGCATTGTGATGCGTTGCGATATTTTCACTGAACACTGTTGTAAAAGGATACAGCCATTACCAGTGGCTGACTGGCTGGGTATGATCTGGATAGTGTCTTCAATTGATACATAACTGAAAGCAACTGAATTCATACATCGCTGTATTTATTGAAATTACTTTTTCAATAAATACAGCTATGTATTACTACTGTATTACTGGCGTGGACACACTAACAAAAAGATCTTAGGATTCATCAAACTTAAAATAACAAAATAAGGATAATCAGTGCCGTTTACATGGCCACAGTGGTCCTTTAAACCAATGAAATGAAAACACTAAATATGTCAACTTGAAAACTGAAATGATAAAATGGGAAGCAATGAAAAATGAAAATGAAAATGAAATGGAAAGATTACTGAAATGCCGGAAATGCTTGTGACACAAAGCAGCGGGCGTCAACACATCCACAGCGACATCTGCTGGACTGGAAGTTGTATTCCACTTGGTTTGGTTGATGTTTGCCAACCATTAATGTATTTTACTTGTTCATTTTTTTTTTTTTTTTATAATCGATTCTTGCCTTCAAGAATCGATGCAGTAGATCACAAAAATTAGAATCGCGATGCATCGTCATGACAATTATTTTGCACACCCCTAGTCATCACCGTCACAAAGGTTGCTGGAAAGATGTTGTTCATTAATATCCATTTGTTCCTTCGGCGATCGGACCTTAGCGTGTAAACTAATTGGCTCCTCCCCCTCCTACAGGCGTGTCTCCCTCCCCCACCAGCCTGCAGGACAGGTACAGCTCCCCTCCCAGCGGAGGCTTCCGGCGCCGTCTGTTTGTAGACCCGGTGCAAGGCGAGCCCAGCGTCACCTCCACGCAGCAGAGCGCAATCCCAAAGACGGGCATCGTCACCGCCTTCCCAGCAGGACAGACCGTGTTCACCGTCACCACCAACAGCGGCCAGACCATGACCATACCTCTGCAGGGTGAGAGAGCGGCTTCCCCGCCAACCGCTGAGAATACCAAGCTTCTGACTTTTGACCTCTTTGCAGGGATAGCCAATGAGAGTGGGAGCATCACTCTGATCCCCGTTCAGATGAGTGGAGCCACACTGCAGCCGCTCTCTGCTCAGACTTTGACCGGCACCCTCGCCATCCAGTCCCCCGTCACCAAACCAGCCGCCAAAGCCGCCAGCAGCTCGCTGAGGAAAGGTTCCCTCTCTCTGTTCTTCAGGAAGGTTCGTCTCCCCCGTCCGCACGCGTCCACCGACCCCTGCTGCGCCCTGACCGAGTCACATGTCCTCCCCAGGTTTATCACATGGCCAGCGTTCGCCTCAGGGACCTCTGTGCCAAACTAGACATCTCATCAGAGCTGAGGAGGAGGATCTGGACCTGTTTCGAGTATTCAGTGGTCCACTGCACAGAGATGATGAACGACCGTCACCTGGACCAGCTGCTCATGTGTGCCGTTTACGTCACAGCGAAGGTCAGTTCCACGTTTGGTTGGAATGACAGAAATAAATGAGCATCAAATGTCGGAATAAAATGTTTTCTTAACTAGAAGCTGTGGAGCATCATAATGTTTGCAGTTTGAGGTTCCTTATGTCTTCACACTTTGATGAAGCTGCAGGAACTCGGTCGATGTGCTCAGACTCCTTCAGCTGAAGAGCTTAGCAACAAAACTCCGTAGCAGCGCATTTTTTCTGTTAGTTTTATTTTATTATGCTGTCAGAAAAATCATAAACATCCTATTAGAACAGTTAAAATCAGTGGCTTTAAAGAATTAAAATACATGTAAAAAAAATGACAATGTTTCTGAAATATTTACCATTATAGCCTTCCAAGAAAAATTCACAAAAAAACCAATATAAAAAAAAAACAAAATGAAGTGAAAACCAAAAAAGATCACAGGACTCAACAGAAGTTACCATCGATGTACTTGGCTTTATTTACTTTAATCATAAATTCCAGCAGAAACTAAATTCTCCTTCTTTATAATAAACCAGTCGTTTCCATTCAGATGTCATATTCCTCCATTCATCCAGAGTTGGAACTGATTTGCTATCGTTCTCGTTCTCGTTGCTCTCTTTTCTTTAAATATTATTTTCTTTTAAAAACTTTTACAGGTTTATTTTTTGTCTCTTAATAATTTTGAATGACAGGAGATTTGCAGGATATGACAGTATTTCCACAATTTCTTCAGCATATTGGGTTTACCATCAAAATCATGTTTCTAAGTTGATCAAATAAAGAATCTAAACCGATTCTTCCCATCTTGATTTACAACCAAGCTGCAGAATTACCGCTTTTTCTGTTCGCTCCTCCTCCATGATTATAACACTTCCTTCTTTCTCCCACTTGACTGGTTTAAAAAGCTGAGAAAAACGCCTTTAATGTTTTATGATCATTTTAAAATTCATAATCTATAGTTTGTATAAAACCTTGTTTTTCAAGAGAAAGTTTCCTTCCTTTTATTAGCAGGGATTCATCCCAGCATTTAATCCTAATCCAGCCGCTGGTGTTTCCATCCAACATGAAATAACGTTTGTTTCCACCAGGTGAGTAAAGAGGACCGGTCCTTCCAGGACATCATGAGGTGCTACCGGACGCAGCCTCAGGCCAAGAGCCACGTAAGAGCCTGAGACTCCAATCATGATCCCACACTGAGAAAACCATCGGATCCGACTGACCTCTATGTCTTTGTGTGCTTCAGGTGTACAGAAGCGTTTTGATTTCAGGGAGGAGAAGGCCAGCCTTGGTTTCTGATGACCCCAAGACACAGAGCTCAGCAGCCAACAGCAGCAAGGATTCAGGTGGGAAGCAGCTCCCTGCTCCCTGCTCCAAAGAGGAAGAAGGTGCCAAAGGAAGAAACAGTATATACAGTGCATCCACATAGGACAGCTTTGAGGATTATTTAATGAACTTCTTGTCAGAATCAGCTCCGTCTGCTGATTCTCTAAGTGTTTCCTGGTCAGTCGTCTAATAGTGTCACGATTTGGTTAAAAGGTTTAGATTGGACCCAAAAACAGAAGCTGGGAGGCAGAGGTGAATTCTTGGAGGGTTTATTGCAAGATCAGGCAACAAAAACAGGTATCCAAAAATCCAACTTAAAAAATGTTAAACAAAAACAGGAATCCAAAAATCCAACATAAAAATCAAACAATAACCAGAACTAGTGAAGGGCTATCTGAAGCCAGGCTTCGAGGCTTGTACCGAGTAATAAGGGGGCGTGTCAATGAAGCCCCGCTTCGAGGCCTGTGTTGTCTTGTTGAAAACCACGTGACTGGCAACAAACGAGGCCTCGCATTGCATTGGTCACGTGACTGCTTCATTTTGCGTGTCGGTTTTCAAAATAAAACCGCGATGAATCCTGTTTCTTCGTGGGTTGTAGTAGGTGGTTTGGTATCAGCAGAACAGTTTTAATCAGCAGTGGTTGAAATGGAGCCGTCAAAAAAGGGAAAAACCTCTCATATGTGGGAGTATTATGAGATGACAGATCACAATCACAACCTGAAACAGTGAAAAAAGTCCTATTCCTAAATAAAAACAATTAAACCTAAAATCCAGAAATTTCTATATTTTCTTTTGTTTAATCAGGAGATGCATCAGAATCACACATCAAAACCAGACTAAAAGCCATTAGAAGAGGCAAACTCTATGTGTAACTTAATATTAAGAATCAGAACTAGAACTCCTAGGAAGAGATGATTTTAAACAAATTCTGTCTTTAAGGAAGCAAGTTTCAAGCTCAAAGTACACAGAGTCTGCAGCAACAGTCACTCAGTTCTCAATACATTAAAGTAACACATCTTCATTGTCTAATAAGTCCATGACATAAAAGAAAACCTAACACCACCACTGATGGTCAAGGATTAGATTGGCTACAAATCATTTTAATCATTAAAACATGACAATTGAATAGGATTCTCCTCTTACTAAACATGAGTTTGGTGAAAACTTTGTGACAATATTGCATTTCCTAATATTTGGAAGTATGATCCAACTGAGTAACAAGGCTGTTACAGTTTCACCAGCAGATGTCACTAGTGAGTGATGAATGAAGCATTGAGTAATGAACTTTTTTCAACACTTTGCGTTGGAAAGTTTCATTGCTTCATGAGGCTTCACTTGCCCATCACTAACCAGAACCATGGAGACATCAGGGAAAAACCAACAAGGAGCCAGGGTAAGGAAAGGTAAGACGAGGAACCAGCAAAGAGGGACTGCAGAGGGAGTGTATTTATGGCTGACTGAACAAAGGTAGAGCTAATGAGCTGATAGGGAACAGGTGTGATTAGAGCTGACGAGGAAGCCAAGGGAAAAGAACACAAGGGGGCAGCAGGGGACAGACAGAAAAACCTAAGCAACTCCAGAATCCAGACACACCAAAAAAGCAAGAAATCAATGAAAAACCTGGCTAAACTTGAAACAGAAAACTTAAAGAAAAACAACAGATCCAAGATCATTACAAATAGAGCAGCTGCTTCTGCTTTAGGTTTATTGTTTTTGTGTAAAAAATTGTTTTTTTTTAATCGAAAATCTTTTCTTTCATTCTTAGAAAAGCCTGTGTTCATTGTTTATTCCTATTTTGCATCTCTGCTCATGTGCTCATCCTATGAGCCCAGGATTTTCTATCACTAAATCTTCCTGCTCTGCGGTTTGCCTTTTTCTTCCACATTCTGCCTTCGGTTGCATCAGATAAATGCAATTGTATAAATATAACCTTTGATATTTTTATCTGAATCTCTGTTAACTTAGTGTCCCTCTGTTGTTCTGCCAGCTGGGGGAGACATCAGCCCCGTTTCCCTCAGTTCCGGCAGCACCTTGCCAGCTCCTGGGACTGCCAATACCCCCGGCCGGTGCTCGTCCTCCACTGGTGAGGGCGAGGAGGAGCGAGGGCACCTGATCCTCTTCTACAACAACGTCTACATCAAGAATATGAGAAACTTTGCTCTGAGATACTCGCCCAGCTCGCCTTCTGCAGGGGTACGTGCTCACTCGCAAGTTTAACCGTTGACAGAGTGGAGCCACTGCTCTGCATCAGCAGCAGCATCAGAAGGACACAAAAAAGGTTCTTCTTAAGAAACAATTCACTTTTAGAAGGTAGAACATGTTGCTTTGAGAGATTGACTTGATTCAGGTGGAAATCTAATTGAGATCAGGGCCCTGACACCTTGCTGATTTATGCCCGACGTCCCAGAATCTCCTAAAAGGCTGGCATACGTTGAACTTTCTATGTATTTTTTTTTCAATTTTGGGTGTATACGTAGTAGAGTCTGAGACGGGAGTGGATTTTCACTCCTGTCCCGTCCCACTCCCACAGAAAAAATTTGTGTCCCATCCCACTCCTGGTGAAATTACTCCCACTCCCATCCCGTTCCCTTTCAGAATGACTCCCGCTCCTGCACCACTCCCATTCTTGTGGTTTTCGAGCGCGGGTGAAAAACTCAGCGCGGAAGCACTGATGGTTTTTGGGTCGTGTAGTTTTTTTTGACTCGCATTATAGTGTAGGCTTCAAGGAAAAAAACTACAAAATGGCAGCGCCGCGCCAGTCCTGGATTTTTTTTTCTTTCTATTTTCTTTTTTTTTTTGGCATAGATCCTAGTTTTTTTTGTTATTATTGGTTTGCTCCCGCTCCCCTCTGCTCCCGTTAATGTTTAATCCTGTACCGTCCCAATCACGTGATCGTTACTAATACTGACTCCCATCCCACGGGAATCCCGTGACCCGTGGGATTCCCGAAAAAATGTCAGTCTCTAATAGCTAGCTTATTCATAAGTCCAGAGCTCATGTCCAAAGACAGCCTAACTTATGCATAACACACTTCAGCCTAATGTCCATGAAATGATGGACAAGCCAATGTCCTTAGGGGCAGCGATGCCCCCGGAGCAACCGGTCTGCATAAAAAGATGTCTTTGATCGCACTATTAACCTAGCTGCTGTTTACTTCCCGCCAAAAAAAAAAAAAAAAGTAATAAAAAATAAAAAATAAAGAAGGTTTGCAGTCGCAGCAGATTCAGCGTCATGTCTGCTAGGAAGTTTGTTGGTCGTAGTCGTGGGCGTGAACGAAGGGAAGATCCATCACACTTCTCGCTCGCCCTCCGATGGCGATGCAGTCTGGAGGAGAACAGACGGTTTCCTCCTGTGAAGCCCCTTTTATACCAAAACACTGCCAATACGCCATTATATGGTAGCTGTACGTTAGAAACATGCACAGCGGTCATCTGGAACGTCAGATACGTCGAAATGTGTTGGAGAGAAGTTCTTAATAAGTTACACATAAGTTACTCATTGTGTCCAGCTTTTGGATAAGCTGGACACCACGACTTATCAGTAACTTAGACTTAACGTATGTCAGCGATCAGATAACGTAACTGTAACTTATGCCCCACGCATGGCACCTGCTGGCATACGTCGTGATGTACTCGCTGTGTTTCAGCGTGCTCATAACTTATACAAAACGTAACCATAACTTCTTCAACGTATGTCAGCGTTTTTGCCAGATTTTTGGTACGTCAGGCATAAGCTGGTCTAAATCATCAAGGTGTGACAGGGGCTTTAAATATGGCAGATTATAAACTGTTAGTTTAAAATAAAGCTATGTTCAAAGCATTGGTTTTTCCATCTCTGAATGCTGCTGAATGTTCCGTGATGTTCCACAGCCTGAACCTGTGACCGGACCTGCGTCTCACCTGTGTAGCTTAAAGCCATTATTTCCTTTTCTCCGCAGGCTGACACCCACCCTCTGTGTCCGTACCCGTCCTTGAGGACAGGCTCTCCTCGGCGGATGCTGCTCTCCAGCAAACACTCCATATACATCTCACCTCACAGGACTCCCTCCTCCCCGTCTCCGACTACGGGGGATCGCATTTCTTACTACATCTGCACCAGCCCCCCCAACGTAAGCCCCCACAGATCCGCCGCTCTCTTGAACCTTTACCTTCTGCTTATTATCAACGTGTTTTCGTCTCCGCAGCGTCTCCAAGAAATCAACAGCATGATCCGGACCGGAGAGACTCCCACCAGGAAGCGCAGCATCCCCCTAGATGAAGAGGCATCGCCTAAACGGGTCTGTCCCGACAACCACACCAGCCTGCTGCGCCGCCTGCAGGATATCGCTAATGATCGCAGCTCCTCCCACTGATATCTTCACCATGGCAACACAGCCAGAGACCCGGATCCGCCTTCAGAGTTTTAGTGATTCTGGTGCAAGGAGGATGTTCCCGTTTTTGGTGTACGTCCCTGATTCTGTTAAGTTTTTGATTGAAACATAAAATATTCTGTTTAGTAACAACAACAAAAACTGCAGATTATTTTTACCCCATTTAATTATTTTAATAACAGATTATAGCAGGTATAGTTTTATGCTGTTAAAGCAAACTTTATAACGAGTCTCATCCAGCATCGTTTTTTTCAACGTGTGATGTTTGTAATTATAGTTTTAAAGACATTTTTCTGTTTTAAATTATGTGATAAAATATTTTGAGTCTTTCTTAGGTTGTTTGTTTATCAGCTGCAGCCACAATCCATGCATTTCCTCACATAAACAAAGGCCTGTATGGATTTAATGGCTCTTTTACTCTTTGTGTTTTGGTTTATTTGACATCCGTTACCCATTGGAAGCAGCTAAAGGATTCTTTCATTTTGTTCCATTTAACTCAAAGTTTATAGTCAGAACCGATGGTTGGAGCATAAAGTTTAAGTTAAGATTTGGTCTCTGCTTTTATCTGTCTGTCTGTTTAACCAGCTCAGCATCACCTCCGCTGTTAGAGCAAAAAACATGTAAATATTCTGTATATACAAAGAAAAGCTATTTAAAAGAGGTGATGTAAAATAAGTGCCTTTTTTTTTAATATTTGACAAGTTTTCTGGAATGTTCAACAACAAAAAAGTGTTTAATAAAAGGCTCCAACTAACCTGACTCAGTATGAAAGCTGCTCTCATTTCTGCATTTTTTATATTCGGGTTGGTCTAAATGAAGAATCCTCACACTGAAGCTCTTAGTCATGTCGTTTTAAAGAAAAGTCATAGAATTGATCAAATTAGGATTATTTTCTTAGAATTTCAACTTTAAGAGATAAAAGTTCTGTAGACAGCTCCTAACAGGTGAGTTGTAACTAGTAACATTTACTTTAAAAATGTACTTTTAGGAGTAGTTTTACAGTGTGTTTCTTTTTAAGATAAAACTATCACCATCTTACTTCAGTAAAATGTTTGGCCACTCCATCCATTGTCAGTAACTTCACTCACTTAATGAAAACAAGCTTGTTTAAAACAAATGTTCACCATTTAGAAACAGACTCGAGGCTTATTGGTTAAATATTATTTTCCATATGCTGAGTCTGCCATGCCATTTGGATGTTCATTAAAAAGAAATCTTAGATTATTCTTATTCTCCTCTATTAATAAGCAGAAATAGGTCGCCCTTGCTTTATGGGTCGTCTTATACAGCAGGAAAACACTGTTTTTCCACACTAGGTAGGCATGTAGAGCGCCATTTTCCCTTCAGTTTCCTAGCATTTTACTTCAGAGTGAGCAGCTCTACATTAAACTAGGGAGCCAGTTTTCTATTTTAAGTTTTTTTCTTTTTCAAAGAAGCTACATTTTCTAAGGTGGTATGCAGAGAACTAGCAACCCAATTAACAAAATCATCTAACTGTGAAGCTGAATGAATGAATTGGTTTCCCTCTGCAGCATTTTTTCTGTGATACAGAGGAAAGTGGAACAAATTATTGAAAAATTATAATTGCATGATCTGACAATGATCTACTAAATTGAAGCCTTTTTGGGGAGGAGAACTCTGTTAAAGTAATCCTGAAGGTTAGTACTGAAGGTATTTAGTATTGAATTACAATTCCATTTCATTTATTCATTACTGAGCATTAAATTACAATTCAGTTTATGTATGTACATTAACTGAATTGTAATTTATTGATGATGAGAAGGGACTTGTAAGACAATTAAATTTTTTTTTTTTGAAAAGCTTGATGAAGTTTCAATCTTTCCATCCCTAAATAAACATAATAGACATTCAAACAAAGTTAAAAAAAAAATAATAATAAAAAATTGGACTTTATTTTCCAGGTTTGGTTCGTTTGTTTTTTCCAGTGTTTTTTTTTTTTTTTTTTTTTTTAATGACTATAACCTGGATGACAGAGCTTCTTCGCCATTAATAACAGACTTAAATGGAGTTCACGCTGCTAAATTCTATTGGATACAGAGAAATTAAACTTGACATTGTCGATTTATTGCAAAAGGAATCAGGAAGCAGAGGATATCGTGTTATATTTGAATTTCTGAAACAGATTATATATTTTATAGATTATATTTTTCTTTTTCTGCCATGTGGTCCACACTCCATACCAGATGGTGGCGGTAATGCTCACCTAACGTTTTTTGCCAACCGCCAATAAAACTCAGTAAGAAGAAGAAGTTTGAAGCGGCGGAACCAAAGGACAGCCGTGTTTCCACACGGACCATATTTTCATCCTGGACCTATAATGCATCGCAGTTACTGAATTCAGGGATAAATAGAGATAAATGATGATGAATTGATTTGTAAATGATCGGTTGTGGTTTTCAGGATGGCCACGCTGGTTCTCGATAACGGGGCTTACTGGGCGAAGATCGGTTACAGCCAGGAGAAAGTCAGGTGAGCAGATTTACGGAGGAAATATTATTAGTTACACGTTATTAAAGGACGATTCTAACCGCTAAAATGTGATTATTTTAACCCGTTTGGGAATATTTATTCTGTTCAACCCTTTATAATGCTTTAGCTGTTAAAGATGAAAAAATATACCCACAAATGTTCTTATTTTATTTTTCTACTCCAAGTCTTTCTAATTTCGATTAAAATAGCCAGAACATTATAAACAAGTATTTGTAATTCTTTTGTCCTTATATGCACAGAAATAACCTTTTGAAAACGGAATGAATAAAGAAATAGAGCATGAGAGTACATTTAAATTAAATAAACGGAGAAACGTTTTTCTCTTATTTCTCGTCTGTTAAAGATTTTTTCTTTTTTTTTGTTTGTTTCTTCCTTGCTGTCCAGTTTATCATTAGTTTTTACTATTTTATGTTAGCATGTGGTGTGCAGCTGTGAGCTTTGTTTGCCCTTTAGCTGGATGTTCCCACTGTGGGACATTAAAGGTTATTTAAGTTTTATTCTATTTTCAAATGACTTTAAAATATCTGCACTAAAGTTTCCCCTAAAGTGATCCCATATCTGCAGGAGTATTAAAGTATCTTCCAGGATGAACATTTTTACAGATGAAACAGTAAACAAATCCTAAACCTGGTTCTAATTATTCTACAATTTAATTCAGTTACGTTTATTTCTGTGGCGCTGATTCACAACATCTGTCATCTCAAGGCACTTTACAGTTCACTGGATCAAACAGTCAAACCGATTCAAAGTTTTCTATCTAAGGAAACCCAGTTGAATGCAATCCTTCACACTAAGCATGCTTGTAGCGACAGTGGAGAGGAAAAAGTCCCTTTTAACAGGAAGAAACCTCCAGCAGAACCAGGCTTAGTGTGAGCGGCCATCTGCTGAGGCCGACTGGGGTTCAAGGAGACAGAAGCAGAGATACAAAAGGCAACTATCAACTAGGTATCCCCTTTTAGGAAACACACAACAACTAATTTTGAATAATCTATTCCAGATTTGATGTGACTAGTTGCAGTGTTGTAGTTTTAATTGTGTTGTAGTTTTCGAGCCAGATCACTTCCAGTGTGACATGGACACTAAAAAAGTGTTAGAATCTGTCTTTATTGAAGTTTCACTAATCTGAGAAAGGTTCCACAAATCCCAGATCAGGTTCTAATTATTCTGCAGGTAGTTTAGGACAATCTTGTCCCAGCATGCAGGTGGCGCAGTGGTTAGCATGCATGACCCATGTACAGGGGACTTAGACCTTGGGCGACCCGGGTTCGAATCTGGCCTGTTGGCCTTTCCCGCATGTCTCTACCCTTGTCTCATACCCCCTTTTCTGTCAGCCTACTGTCCAAAAAAAGAAACAAGCCATTAGTGCTGCAAAAACAAACAAAAAAAAAAACACAAAAAGTTTAGGTGTTGTAAGTTTTTAATTAGAGTAGATTAAAGATGCTAAAGGTAGGGTAAAATTAAGGGGAATCGACCTTAATTTTTCTTCTTGAATTGGAAGTTAGAATCGGCAGCCAACTTCAGCTTCATGCTGTGATCGTTCCTCACTCACATATGTAAACAGAGTCCCAGTGTCGTTTGGACTTATCTCCTGACTTCATCCCCCCAGTGTAATCCCAAACTGTCAGTTCCGCTCAAAGACGTCAAGATTAAAAACCTTTACGGCCAACCAGCTGGATGAAATCAAGGATCCTTCGGGTCTCTTCTACATCTTGCCTTTCCAGAAGGTGAGCATGACTCTAAGTTCCTATGTAGAAAAACTCTGATGGTGATGATAGAGATCGACACAATGTTCTCTGTGTCTGCAGGGTTACCTGGTTAACTGGGATGTTCAGAGGAAAGTGTGGGACCACCTGTTTGGAAAAGAGATGTTCAAGGTGCTGCTGATCTTTTCTTCTTTTTTTTTTAACCATAAACTAAGTTGTCTGTTTCAGAAGCTGCAGCTGAACATGTTTTCTGTGAGCAGGTGGAGTTTGCAGACACGAGCATCATCATCACAGAGCCTTACTTCAACTTCACCTCCATTCAGGAGTCCATGAACGAGATCCTGTTTGAGGAATACCAGTTCCAGTCGGCTCTGCGGACGAACGGTGGGTCTCCAATAAATCGTTTCCAGACAGAAACTGGATAAGACTTTATGAGGAAATCCAAGTGTTATCCACTTAATGCAAACAGCATTGGAGAAGAGGCACCGCTCCTACCGGCATGTTACTAAATCTTCTGCAGCAAATGTTTTCTTCATAACAAAAACAGAATTTTCCTGCATTTTAGACCAAAGCGACGAGCTAACTTCGTGTTAGCATTGTCCGGCTGTCACCATCTGAAATCTCTTAATCAATCTAATGAGGCGATCTAGAATATCTAGTTGCTATTTATTGCACTGAAATCATTTTCTTGCTGGATGATTGTCCTCAGAGAAAAAGCTGCAGCCATCATAACACCATTGAAAGGAAACCTGAAACTAATTTTCAAGGTGATTCCTTAATGAAAACATAAAAAAACAGACATAAACAAGACAGATGCAGCAGTTTAAACAAAATGAAATATTGCATGTATATAGAAATGGGCTCTTAAATAAATATTGTTACACATCAACACAATATAATAACAGTTATACACACACACAAACAGAAATATTTGGATGTTGATTATGGGCCTTCTTAAACACACAGAGATTATAAAACAGATAAAAAATGGAAGATCAAAATGTGTTTTAAATTTCAACAAAAATGTCCAATTTCTTTATTTATTCTCTAGACACAAAAAACAGACTATAAAGGAGCTAAACTGAATTGGGTGTTATTAAATAGGGAAGCTAAAATCCATGCATGGAAATATAAACAATAACTGAAACAAACTGTTAGCAAGAAGATGAAATGGTTTGATGGTGATTAGTAAATGTATCTAAATCACAGCAGACAAAAATATTGGAAGTTATAATTGTGTTACAATCCTTTACTTACTGAGCGTAAAACAATCAACCGATAAAGAGGTTTCAAAGATTATGCAGTTTTATATGTAACAGAAAAACAGGTTAGATGGAGCTCACAGTCAGATGTTGATTTTCTCCTCTGAAGGGTGTTTTTGTTTTGTTTCTTAAAGCCAGACTTAAACTCTTAGTCAGGCTGCAGAGAGTCACGGATGTCAGTAATAATAAATAATAGTATCATCTTCATATAGTTAAATACTGCAGTAGGACAGTTGTTGATAAAAACTAAAACTAGATGAGGACCAAGTGAGGAGCCCTGTGGGACACCTCCATCTATGAGACTGAAATCTCACTGACTACACGCTGCTGACGATGATGAGAGGACATGTCAGTACCGATCAAATGTAAATAATTCAATAGGAGACGGTGATTAAACACGTCAAAGGCCTTAATAGGGTCATTAAATAAAGCAGCTGTAAATCAAAAATAGAGAAAGATAAACTGAAAAGATCAGCCTAAGGAAAAGAGAGAACATGAGATGCATACTTAATAAAAAAGACTTTCAATCTTAATGGGACTAACATGTTAAATAAATGCTAAAAAAATGGCCTCCATACATTCAATTCAATCCAGTTTATTTCTATCTCATTTCAAGGTACTTTACAGTTCACCAGATCTTACAACCTAAGGAAAACCAGTTAATTGTATCGACTAATTGACTCCAATGCAATCCCTCACACTAAGCATGCTTGTAGCGACAGTGGAGAGGAAAAACTCCCGTTTAACAGGAAGAAACCTCCAGCAGAACCAGGCTCAGTGTGAGCGGCCATCTGCTGAGGCCGACTGGGGTTCAAGGAGACAGAAGCAGAGATACAAAAGCAGCTGTAAAAGGCGGCCCCACCTACATCAGACCATCATCTGCAGGAAGCTGCACCCAAAGGGAAGATGTTTCTGGATCATCAAGAACTTCAGGCGTAGGATGTATAACATTGAACAGGTCGATTCTCTGCAGACACCAACAACACTAGTTGCCACCAGTGCATAGCTTGCTGTAGCAGTTGGGTCGCAGCACATCTTCATACACTGCTTTTTAGGACACCAAACCGTCTCTGATACTCAGCAGGAAATCAGAAGATAGACTACAGCAGATGGGTGATTTTTTTTTTTTTTTAATCATTCCTGGGATTGTTTTAGACGTCTGCCATTAGCGATAGATCCTGATTGGATCGTTGCTTGTCTTCCAAATCGCTTGTCCCGATGCAGCATCAATACCAACAGATGTCCATAAAAATACACGTCTTCCAACAATGTTGGAAAAAGTGGGTGACGGTCAGGAGAGGAGCATTGGGACAAACGGAAACCAACATAGTTTGATTAGTTCAAATAGGTAAGAGAGCGAGAGGCGCTAACCATCATCAGGCACGATTTGATCCAGAAGTTCTGGCTGAAAGATCAGACCTGGGAGGGCAGAAGACCTCGACTATTCAGCCAGGCCAACAATTTGCTTTTATGAACCCCCCTTTGAGAGACTAAGACGAGTATGGGGTATTGCAGGCTAACAGAAGAACCCAAACGACCCCCATTCCAAAGGGGTGGACCATTTCAATTAGCATGTTTTCAAAACAAAAACAAGGCATTGTTGGGCTACTCTATAAAACCTTTAAACTTAACGCTATTCCTGACATTTTGAATTGAAAAAGCTTCCTGGATGGGGAGCCAAACGTCTTCAAATTTTGAAGAAAAGTTCAGTGGATTGCTTTTTTTGGAATCAGACCTGCACAGCAAAAACGATTTAGAAATAAACATTTCTTGAATCAAGTATATTTACCCTGAATTTGAGTAGGTAAATAAGGTGATCTGGCAATGGAGTACTTTTATTCTTAAAATAAGATAATTAGATAATATGGTATGATAATATAGGAAAATGCTATTATTTTTTCTTATTTTAAATGTAAATAGTCTTGTTCCATTGGCAAAGTGTCTCTCTTACCTCCTCAATTCAAGACAAAATGCATTTATTTTTAGAAAAAATGACTTATTTAGATTACATTTTTTTCTAGTGTGGGAGTTTTCACAGCAGCATTTTTAAACTTGGAGGCAAAGATGGGAATCAAAAAGTGTGCCGGTGCCGTAACATTTGGCCATGATTTATTTTTCTGTAGATATGGATGTGGGCCAAGAACGGAGCCCAGAGGAACTCCTACTAACTGTATTTATCCCATTATAAACATGAACCTCTAAAACGTTAACTGGGGGTGAAATAAAAGTAGAAAAATGTGAAAGGGCAGAAACATTTGGCCATCCTTCTTTGATGTTTTATTGGGTTATTTCTCCAGTCTGTACTTCTAACCAGTGAATGTGGCTAAAAAATGTCCCTTTGTCCTCCAGCGGGGTCGCTCAGCGCTCATAACTACTTCCACAGCAAACCGTCAGAGCTCTGCTGCCTTGTGGTCGACTCTGGATTCTCCTTTACCCACATCGTCCCTTACTGTCGCAGTAAGAAGCTGAAGGAGGGCATCCGCAGGTGAGGGAGCGTCCACCTTCACAGGAAGTGACACAGCAGGGACGCTAACAGCGGCCTGATGCTTTGGTTTTGCCTTTCAGGGTCAATGTTGGAGGGAAACTGCTCACCAATCACCTGAAGGAGATCATATCGTACCGGTACAGAGCTCCCCGTGTCCTGGTGGGATTCTCACTGCAGCGTCTGTTTCTTTATGTCCATATTATTTTCATTTCACAGCCAACTGCATGTGATGGACGAGACGTATGTGATCAACCAGGTGAAAGAAGACGTTTGCTACGTCTCTCAGCATTTCTACAAGGACATGGAGATCGCACAGTGAGACTCTGATGTTCCTCCTTATTTAGAACTCTGGTAGTGGAGCGGGTGTCCATCTGAATGACGGTTCCTCTGGTTTCAGGATGAAAGGGGAGGAGAACTCGGTGATGAGGGATTACGTTCTTCCTGATTTCAGCGCCATCAAGAAAGGTTTCTGTAAGGTGAGACCGATGGTCTTTGTGAGAAAATGTATATTCCTGCACAGCTTCAAGAACGGCGCACAGCAGCATTTTAGTCAGGTTGAACTTTGACTTGTGTTTCATCCATCCTGCTGAGGATTGGCTGCTGCTGTCCAGCTGGTGATCGGGTTGGACCGAGCCTCGTCTGTATGACAGATGCAGAGATGGCAAAAGTACTCACTTTCCGTACTTGAGTAAAAGTACAGATACTTGTGTTAAAAAATACTCTGGTAAAAGTGGAAGTACTGATTAAACTTCTTTACTCAAGTAAAAGTAACAAAGTACAGGCTTATAAATTTACTTAAAGTATAAAAGTAAAAGTAGAAACCACTTTTTTCATGCCGTTGCCTACATTTTAAATGGATGTCTGCCAATAGGACTAGATCTCCGTTGTGTTCATTTTCAATCATCTCGTCGTCCATGCTACTATGCTAACGCCACCGCCACCAAGCTGCAATGATTTGCCGCCAATGAATACCGCCGAATCTGTCGATTCATCTTGTAGTGGTGCGTCAAATGCAACGTAGATTCCCATCCAATTAGATTGAATTTGGTATTGATGACGTGAAAAATAATAACGGTAACTCCATTGAAATGATTCAAAACTAAAGTAACGAGACAATTTTTTTAAATGTAAGGAGTAGAAAGTACAGATATTTGTGTAAAAATGTAAGGAGTAGAAGTAAAAAGTCGCCATAAAAATAAGTAGTAAAGTAAAGTAAAAATATTAGAAAAATCTACTTGAGTACAGTAACGAAGTATTTGTACTTTGTTACTTCCCATCTCTGGACAGATGTCATAAACATCGGTCATATTGACCCTGAGACTGCAGCATCTCAGCGCTGCAAACTGAGCCATTATCATTGGATTCTGTTTATCGTTTGTTTATTCATTTAAAGAAATTAAATAAAAACCTTTTCTTTTTATTTGTTTCAAGAAATATAAGAAAACGGATGTAGGTTTTCTTTTTGAACTTCTCATCTCCCTACAAAATTAAACGTATAAAATCAGACAATGATCACTTAAATTCATCCTTTTTGGGCTTTTGTAAAATCTCACCTTTATGAGCAACATTCCAAACACACCAGCCTACTGGTTTCAGCTACATTTATTATAAATAGAAATTATCATCTACTCTTCAAACCAAAATCCTCTCGGAACAAAATCTATCAAATCAATAGTAATTAGTCATTAATAAACGGGAAAGTTGTATTTGGATGAATTATGTTTAATAACATCAAGCATCAGTGTCCTTTAAAGTCGTAGGGAAATCACATTTAAATGTCAAATAATTCTGGCTTAAACATGTATATAAATGTTCTCTTTATCAGAAGATATATTGTTCCAAAATTTAGAAAATATTTATTTAAAAAAAATCCGGTCTTAAAATCAGTGGGGGGGTTTTTCCTCGTTATCTTATGCAGGCCAGTTAGTTATACGTCAGCTTGTACATCTAAATTCGGCCAATCATATATCAATGATCATCTGTCAATCACATTTTTTCAGTCATAGCATCTTGATTCATATGTCGCAGCTAATATACGTAACGGTTGAAATAAGAATAATTTCCCATTGAGTTCCGTCCCAGTGTTCACGGGGATGGACGTCTGTGTCTTCAGCAGGCGTAGAGCTAACAGAACTGGCAGCGTTGCGAGGCAAGGGCTCAAACATGTACGACTGGAAGCCTTCTACACCAAACGAAGCTTCTGCCGCCCTGGCGTTCTCTTTCACAACATCTTCATCCCCGCTTTCCTCCTCTAAATAAAAAATGTCTGACAGAGGAGACTCATCCACAACCTCCGACACTAAACTCTCCTCCTCTTGCATGTTTCCTCTGTCCATAGCGTTCCTTGACAGCGTCGTTTCTAAGTCACCAATTTAGTGCTACTTGGTCCCAATGGAATTTCCCATTGGGAACCTGCTAGCACTAAGTTGCTAACTGGTTAGCAACTTAGTGCTAGTAGGGTCCCAATGGAATTTCCCATTGAGAACCTACTAGCACTAAGTTGCTAACTGGTTAGCAAGATGCTTCCAACAAACCACAACCAAACTTGCTGTGAAATTTCCGCCACAACAATCCCGCCCCCTTGATAAACGACCAATCACATTCACTTCATTCACTCTTGTAAAGTCGGGCACCTCATACTCGTACTCGTCGTCTCCTGCTGGGGGAAGCCCTAGGCACTCCCAGGCCAGCCGAGAGACATAGTCCCTCCAGCGTGTCCTGGGTCGTCCCCTGGGCCTCCTCCCAGTGGGACGTGCCTGGAACACCTCCCGAGGGCATCCGAAGAAGATGTCCGAGCCACCTCAACTGACTCCTCTCGATGTGGAGGAGAACCGGCTCTACACTGAGCCTCTCCCGAATGACCGAGCTCCTCACCCTATCTCTAAGGGAGAGCCCACTCAGGAAAATTAAGAAATACAACGGTTGGAACAGCCGCTTCCCTACGACTTTAAAAAATAAAAGTTTGGTATAATGTCCTCATACAGCCCATCAGTCCGCTTCAGACGCACAAAGAAAGTAATCCAACAGGAAGAAGAATGTGTTTCTGCCTAAATGATTTATTTGATTTCATATTTTAGGGTTCCACAAAGTTCCTAATTCCCTAATTCAGAGATCCAAGATGTTTTTTTTTTTTTTTTTTTTTTTTGGGGGCGCAGCACTGATCAGAACCTGTGGAGCCTCTCTTGCTCTACTGCGGTTAAAAGTTTAAAATGACTCTGACGGTTAAACTCTGTCATTTTATACATTTTTATATTTGTTATTTTTTATGTTTATAAATAATGGGACAACTTTACATTTTTTTTATGCAGCGTATTTATTAACAGTTAGCAACTATCCTTTAAATCCTAAATTATATCTGCATAAACTTTCCAAGCTGCCATTTACTGGGGCGTTAGCTATGATGCTCCTGAGTCTGTTCACTCACCAGTCGTGCCTCATAAAACCGTTGTAGCTAGAAAAAAAAATAAATTTTAAAAAGCGGCTGGGAAAATTATTATCCGTTGTCTTCATATTTTATTTATGTGGGAAATTGTGTATTTAAAAAAGGAACTTCTCTTGGTTTCGTTAACAGTAACGAATTTGTAGAAAGAGACACGGATTCATCATTCCTCCACCACCGTGCTTCGTTAAGGCCATACATCTCTATTTCTGGCTCATCAGACAGAGACTGCTCCACAGTTTCTGTGGTTCTTTTGGATCCAGATATGCTTCCGGGTTCATTTTAGAGAGAAAAGCCTTCAACCCTCCAGACAAACCATTCTTCTTTTCAGCTCTGAGCTTCATGATTCAGAGAGATCAGTTTAGTGCTGATTCCACGTCTTCTCTGTCCCACAGCCTCGAGAAGAGATGGTCCTCAGCGGGAAATATAAGACAGGCGAGCAGATCCTGAGGTTGGTCAACGAGCGCTTCGCCGTTCCTGAGATGCTCTTCCATCCATCAGACATCGGCATCCAGGAGATGGGGATCCCAGAGGCCATCGTTGACTCGGTCAGGTCCCTGCCAGAAGGTTTGTTTGTCAAAGCCGGTGACGGTTCCTGCTGCAGGTTCTGAGGCTCAGACCTAAAATCTTTCTTCCTGTCTGTTAGAGATGCACCCCCACCTCTACCAGAACATCGTCCTGACGGGAGGCAACACGCTGTTTCCTGGCTTTAGAGAGCGACTGGAGGCGGAGCTTCGGTCTCTTGTCCCCGCCCATCTCCCGGTGTCGGTCTTCCTTCCTGACAAGTAAGACATCTAGACCTGGAGGTCAGAATTTCCTAACAGAACCAGAACTGCAGCCAGAATCTGAATCTGGGTTTCATAAACTTCATATGAAATGTTTTAGCTTCTAGCTCTAATTATTCAGCAGCACGGTCGCCTCGCAGGAAGAAGGTCCCCGGTTTGAAATCATTTTAGGTTTGTCTCCAGGTGCATGTCTCTGGGTACTGGGGCCTCCTCCTCCAGTTCGGTGCAGGTCTGTTAGGTCAGCAGCTTACTGCGACCTGCAGAGCCAGGCCATGTCGGTTCCAGGCGAGGGTTATAAACCCGGAACTGAAGCTAAACCGTCTTCTTAGATAGATAGATAGATAGATAGATAGATAGATAGATAGATAGATAGATAGATAGATAGATAGATAGATAGATAGATAGATAGATAGCATTTATTGTCACTGAACAGAATTCAAACGAAATTTCCATTGCAGCTCCCGTGCAAAAGGTCAAATATATACAGTATAAATAAGCAAACACACAATAATAATAATATTCTTAGTGGAGGAACGGATCATCCGGTGTGATTCTGAGTCTACAGTCCAGTCTGCTTCGTTATATCTCTATTCTCCCACTCTGCAGACTCTGTTAGTCCAATCTCTAACATTAATTTCTCTGCTTTTTCTCATCTGGTCTGTTCCTGTTTGGCTGTGACTCCATCCTGGAGAGAAATATCAGCTGTGCTGCTTCCATCAACACCCTTGTTTACAGATGTTTGAGCTCAGCCTGTTTTTCAGTGTAGTCCTGTTTCTCTGACTGACTGGCTGGATGTGCTCTCTTCATCTTCTGACATGGGAGCTGGCTCAGAGCTCGTCTGCCTGGCTGTGTGTTTCCTGGACGGGGCCGCCTGTGATCAGAGAGCAGAGATACAACAGGCAACCTTCAACCAGCTAATTGACAGCTGCTTTTATGTCTCTGCTTCTGTCTCCTTGAACCCCAGTCTGCCTCAGCAGATGGCCGCTCACACTGAGCCTGTTTCTGCTGGAGGTTTCTTCCTGTTAGAAGGGAGTTTTTCCTCTCCACTGTCGCTACAGGCATGCTTAGTGTGAGGGATGGCATTTGAGTCAATGAGTCGATACAATCAACTGGTTTTCCTTAGATAGAAAACTTTGATTCAATTTGACAGGATGATCTGGTGAACTGTAAAGTGCCTTGAGATGACATGTGTTGTGAATTGGCGCTTTATAAATAAACTGAATTGAATTGAATACAGTCTGTAACTGTGCTCCTGTTTTCCAGTCCGGTCTGTTATTCCTGGGAAGGAGGGAAGCTGCTGTCTCACAGTCCGGACTACGATGAGATGGTGGTGATGCGGGAGGACTACGAGGAGAACGGACACATCGTCTGTGAGGAGAAGTTTGACATCTGAATTAAAAGGCGTCGGGAAGAGAAACTGTCTTCGTACGAACTCTGAGGTTCAGGAGGGATCAAGTGCAGAACGTTGATGAAACAAGCACACAGAGACGTGGCCAACATTTTTCTACTGAATAAAAAATTTTTCTACTTGTTCTGTTTCCCTGTAGTTTTATTTTAGTACCTGATTAAAAAGGTGTCTTTGAACAGTTTCTGGGTCCAGAGAAACGGATGTGCTGCAAGTCGGCAGGACTTTCTGGATGTTTCTCCTGCAAATATTTCTCATCCAGGCCTCATCTCCTGAGCCGGACCTTGGATTTAAACTCTGTGACCTTTCCTCCTTTATTTAATTTAGCTTCCTAAAGGTCTTTAGGTGTTTTTCTTTGAACCTTGGCAGCTTTTTATGGCATATGTGAAAGATAATCAGTATAGTGAACAGCAACATACTGGAATAGAGAATCGGTTTATTGTTCCACAATTGGGAAATTCTGGTGTTACAGAGCAAAAAGATTATAGAAAAATGGTCACACTAATGTGGACCTTAGAAAAGTGTATAAAAATAGCATAATAGTGAAGCGTTAAAAAAAAGTTTCAGTAAAGACTCTTATCTTTATGAGATTTACTTTACAGTTTCCCCATTTCTAAAGCTGCTTTTTGGTTTGGAGCAAAGCTTCAGTGATGTTTTGGATTCCTTCTAAAGTCTGTCAGGACTCAGTCCTTCAGGTCATAAGACATTAAAAACATTAGGACTCATCCTATAATATCTTCATAACAAATAATCCAAACTGTCAGCAGTATTAGAATGTGGATTTAATTATTTTGTTGATCTATCTGTGGGGTCAGAATTCACACGTTTGGATCAAAAACCTGATAGAAATAAATGATCCAATTCAGTTGATTTTAGCAGGAGAGCTCAATAGAGTCTGTTTTAGAGAACAATCATCCATGATTGAATCTGAACAATTCATTATTAATCATCATCATTCTTCATTGTTTCGTCAGATTGAGTCACAGCTCTAAACTGTCAAAGATGGCGTCCGGACTGCGATTCCCTCCATATCCACCTGCACCGTGTGAACGCTGAAGTCGCCAAGACCCTGAAACACAGATATTTACTAGATAGCACCACAAATTCCAGATGGTTTTGTGTTTTTCTGGGTTATATGATCAAAAACATCAAAAGATGCAGCATCTCTGGAGGCATTAAAAAATGTGCTAAAATTTTTTATCATGACCTGTGATTGAATTAAATTTTTTTCACATTTCCATTTATCAAACATGTTTTTCTTTTGCAACAATAGTGGACCAAATGTCCCTCCAAACTCTAAAATCATCTCTGCTCTGGAAATGGAAATTTTCAGTCCAGTGTGAGACAGGACTTTTTAAGGAAGAGGATAAGGGCCACAGGATTTTTTTAAGTTTATAGACTTTTTAAAATTATTTGGTTTCAATTTGATATCAGAAAACACTGATTTTTTAAATTCCAATTCTGATTCAAATCTCAAAAATCTGACTTTTTTTCTCAGAATTCTGAGATTCCTACAAATAAATAAACAAAATGGAGAAACGAGGTTCAAAATGTAAAATAAAATATTGAACTGCAGCTGTTTTATATATTGGTCTATATCCAGAAAAATGCCCTCTCTTAAAAAGCAGACAGGTGGTTGAAAGAAGCAAGAATTTACAACCTAGTAAAAGTAGTAGTACTACTACAGCGCTTGAACTGGGGGGAGCAGTACCTTCATCTTTCATTCACCATTTTTCCCCAAAATGAGCTTTTTTTTTATTCAGTGAGTTTTCTATCCTCTCAGATCTCATTCTGAGGGTTTTATTGTTGATCTTGTCGGCTTCTTTTGGTTTGTGCTGTGTTTTGAAATTCTCCTGGAGTTTTAACTTAATACCGGATCGCATTAAACAAAGTTTAAATCTCCTTAAAATACTTTAATCAGTAATCCTGCTTTTGCTGCTGATGTTTAGATTTATTATTTCCCAGCCTGGAGTCGGTGATTTATTCATCCCTTCTCAATGGTCCGATCCCTGGTTGGTTCTTTGTAAATGGGGCTAAATAGGAGTCATTGAAATATGTTTTTTAATCCATGATGGATTCTGTTCCCGGTTAACAGATGATAAAAGGCTCCTTTGGACCTTCAGAATATTTTTTTCTGAACCAGTTGCTGTCAATAAATCAAATAAATCAGCAGTGAAGCTTTTATCTGTTCCGTTTTCGTCTCACCGCTGTGTTTCTGAGAACCTGCAGAACTGCCTCCTGCTGTCGGGACTCCTTGGTCAGCAGGTACAGGAAGCCGCCTCCTCCGGCCCCCGCCAGGCTCTGACCCAGGACCAGGGGCCTCAGAGCCTCCATCATGGTTCTGACGGATGCCGGCTCGCATCCAGGAGCCATCAGCTTCTTCTGCTGCCACGAGCGGTCCAGACACTTACCCAGCCTGAACAGAGAACCTGGTAAGGGAAGGACAACCGGCTCTGTTAGTGAGGCATGATGGGAAATGCAGAGATCCAGTTGGTGACCCACCCTCTGAACAGGCTCTGGAACATTCCTCAGAGTTAGACACCAGCTGCTGGGCGTTCAGCACCATGGAAGGCAGACGACTGTACCAGCTGCGAACCACGTCCTGCACAAAACAAACTGGATTTAAAGCAGCTGGAACTGGGAGGCTGAGCAGAGACCAGTAAAGGTTCGAACAGCCGGAGCAGCTCTGATCCTGGAGACCAGGAGGAGCTCAGAAAGTAGAGAGCATGGTTTTCATGGAGAGGAGTAAAGCAGATGTTTGACCTGCAGCAGGTTTCGGGCCAGCCGAGTCTTTCCGGTGTAAACCAGCAGGAGGTGCTGCTCCAGAGAGGCCAGGAACTCAGGAGGAGGACTCAGGCGCTCCACCTCCACCTGCAGGGGCAAGGATGCTCTGGAGCGACCCGCTTTGACTCCGCCCACCAAGCCTCCCACCTGGTCCTGCCAGCCGCCGCCTGTTGGTGAAGCAGGAAGTGATGAAGAAGACGTAGAGGAAGAGGAAGAGCGTGGGAGCAGAGGGAACGCCGACCTGTGGTGAGAATCTGCTCCAGGTAGAGGACGGCGTGGATCAGGGAGTCGGTGTCGTAGGTTCGGCCCGTAGCCCTGTAGATGGCTGCCAGTAGCGCCCCCGCCAGGATGCTGCTGGTCCCTGCAGGAAATCACACATCAGCGCTTTCCTCTGTTGTAGCGGTCCTGGTTTTACTGGTTCTCACCCAGTCCTGATCCGGTTGGCAGCTCTGACCAGCTGTGCAGCTCCACCCCGCCTCCCCACCTCTGCAACAGCTGATGCTCCAGAGGATGCTGCGAGGACAGAGATACGAGGCCGCTGCACACGCAGATGGCCTTTAGCAGAGCTCCTGCAGCAGAGACAGCAACAGTCAGTGTCCAGTGGCTCTCCCAGTGTAACCAGTAAACCCTTGGGCCCTACCTGGAGCGTGAGGCTGGCAGTAGTCCCTCAGCTCGTCCAGACTCTCACAGACTATCGCCGTGGAAGCGCCGCCGCTGCAGCTTACCAGCAGGAGGCAGGGTTCCAGGATGCGACGGGCTCTGGCTCCGATAGGCCGTTTCCCATCGACCTTCACTGCGATGTTGGTCACCGATCCGCCGTGCTCGAAGGCAATGGGAGGCGTGTCGCTCCAGCCGCCTGGAGCACAAACACCTGAAGGTCAGAGGTGCTTCACACCAGCAGCTGAACAGGCCTTGTCCAACGCCTGCAGCGCCACCTGAAGGCAACAGGCAGTCAGAAAATCTGGACCGGTTCTCACCTGCCAGGTCCAGTCTGGCTGGACACTCCACTTCCTGCCACTCCCCCACAGGCGGGGCCTCCCCCTGCCCAATACAGATGAACTTCTGTGATGACACCACAGCCTGCCGCAGCAGCACCTGCCCGGCGCCCTCATAGTGCCGCGCCGCCCGCACCAGTAAGTCGGGCCTGTAGGGGGCAGTAAATGAGAACGAGAAGTGAGAATTCATCAAACAACGATGGAAAGCGAAAAGAAGGAGAGAAGCTCCCACCTGCTCAGCCAGTGCTGCCGCTGTGCAGCAAGAGCATAAACTCCTCCCCTCAGGTCCCCCTCCTCCAATAGGAAGTATGCTGGGCTCCAGGCTTCATTAGCAGCTGGACCGCTCCTAAGACCCCCCTTCCCCCCTGCCATGCACACCAGCACATCAGCGATGCAGGACAGACAGCGGGCGGCCACGCCCAGCTGTGCTCCAGGCTCCTCCCCCTGATCCACGCTTCCAGCAGCAACTAGAACCAGAATAAAATTGATCAGCTTCTGGTTCTCCTGGGATGTAAAACAGATTGGAAATTAAAAAATGAGAACTAACTGCTGTCCAGAGTGTCCAGTAGCGCCTCATGCTGCCCCCCATGCACTGCTGCCCTGAAGCAAGGCAGCAAACAGACGTCGGTGCGGCTCCGCAGGGTGTCCGTCACTCTCCTCCTCCCCGCCAGAAACTGCAGTTCCTCCCTCCACTGAAGCTCCGCCTCCTGGTGGGTGAGTGACAGCACCTCCCTCAGAGAGAGCCTCCATGCCTCCCTCCACCTCTGCAGGCAGCCCGGCCCCCCCAGCAGCCAGCCCACACCTCCCTCAAGACCCACAGCGCCTCCTCTGGGGTGGAGGGCTGGAAAAAGCCGAGCCTCCAGCAGGGAGCGCTGTTCGCCCCTCACCCACAGCTCCTCTGGCCTGGGGAGAAAAGGGGGCGGGATGTAAAAAAAAAAAAAAAAAAAGGCAGAGATTGGGAGGAATAATGTGTTAATAGTTGAAATTTGAAGCTTTGGGGAAAACGATCTGAGCGGAAAAGTTTGGGTCTTACTCTATTCCTGAGGAGCTGAGGAAAACCTTCCAGCTCTGGTTGAGGAAGGAGGCCCTGCTGTCGTCAAGGGACACCTGAGGAGGAGAACGTGGGGCGGATGTGATTATAGTAATTATACATCTAGCTTTAAGCCTGCCATAAGCTGTACAATTTATTTTGCCCTTTTCCGTCCGATTCTCCAGTCGTGCAAGAATTTATTTGATCGGGCCGACTTGAATGTGTGTCATGTAGTGTACAGGGGGTAACAAGGGGCGATCAGCCTCTTACACCCACCTCCCGATCAGGAATCGTAAGGTTGCACAGTGTGAGAACGT